ATAAAGAACTAGACGACAGTGCTACCAACTTGACTTTTTATCGAGTGGTTCCGTAGAAATGACCTCAACTGTACATAAAAAATTTTATACAAATCGGTCAACCAAGTTCGGTTCCAAACACTGTGACGCGAGAATTTTATACATAATGCATTATTATTTTAGAACAAATTTCATTACCATAAAAAAGGTTATACTGAATCGACCTTAAAAGATAGACATATTATGCTGTCGCGGACTTTTCTTTACAACTTTTAGAGGGGAACAATTTCGTCATACATGATTTTTACGTAACTTTAATCGTTTAAGCAGCGTAAGCAACGGAAAGTGTCAAAGGAGGAATAATTTTTCCGTTTTTCCGAATTTTTCATTGCTACTTCGCTCCTAGTGATCGTAGCGTGATATTACATAGCCTATATGTTGATACGATACATGAACTATCGAACATAAAAAGATTTTTTGCATTCGAACCAGTAGTTTCTGAGATTAGCGCGTTCAATTAAACAAAAGCTTCAGCTTTATATTATATATAGAATATAGAATATAGAATATAGAATATAGATATAGATATAGAATATAGATAGATAGAAGATAGATAGATAGATAAGTAATAAGTAATAAGTGATATAAGTAATAAGTATAAGTATAAGTATAAGTAATAAGTATAAGTATAAGTATAAGTATAAGTATAAGTATAAGTATAAGTATAAGTATAGATTATATTATATTCACATATTTGAAAAAAATCGTCAGAATGAGTTTTTACAATTCAGGATTCATTTAATTTTGCTACAGAAAATCTACCATCCTCCTATAGTTCAACTTTAGTGAACTGATCTGCTTCTTTACGTCACTTCCTTCTGCTTCACGCTTTATCTCTTTAAATACTTGATGTAGGTAGTTTCTTAAAAGTTATAATTAGAGAGCGGATTTTATGAAATTTGCTTGATATTTAATATGTGAACGAATCATGCTAATTAAAAAAATTGCATAATTGCATATACAGCCTGTTATTGAAAGGTACGTACAAAATAAAATCGGCAATTGGTCTCGAAGTATAGGTGCTAAAAGTTAAAAAAAGTTCAGGTAAAAGTGTTTTCCTTTTAGAGATAAAAATTATTAAAATTTATGTCCAAATTCCTTGTACGCCTCTGATAAAAAGATCATCTTTCGTTTCTGTAGTAACATTTAGTCTTGACAAAAGTTTTATTGTTACAGGTGCTAGGATTTACTAAAATAATTTAATTTTACCTATTTATCCTTCAGTATGGTCTAAAAAGGTTGGATAAGGGTTAATTTTCCCCTTATAATTTTGATAACACAAAATAAGTTTTTCCGACTTCTTAGACTTCGCGAAGAACTGTCCATTTTGTTGGACGTACCTTTCAATAACTCCCTGTATTTGCCTTCTGCTGCATATTTCACGTAACGGATGCATATTTTGCATTTTTATCAATTTTTGTGCTAATGTGAAAAAAAAGATTGTCATTTATCGGCATTTATCTAGAAAAACGAAATTTCGTGAATCATATTGCAAATATTCTCCAGAGTTTCAAATAACTAGGAAAGGTGGAGTTTTATGGTAGTCTGGAGAAACCACTGGGTAAATTCGGGCCCTAATTACTTTTGGAAATACCGTTCGTTCCGAATATTTTTCTTCGTTACTTAAGTGTATGTTGTATGGTAGTCGAAGGGACGCTATCCTATTATTTTTCATCCTGAGTTTGTATGTCGAAGATAACTCAAATTAATTTATGGATTAAACGTTTTCCTGAACTTATTCTTCAAGAAGGAACTGTGTTTTGCCGCGCCTGCTCTAAACCAATAAGTATTTGTACATACATCTGTGCACGTAGTACACAGTTTTTCTATTTACAAATGCATACTTTAGAATCACCGGAAAAACTTTTTGTAGAATATTTCGAAAAATATTTAAAAATAAATTGTTGCCAAAATAGTAATTAAGTAGTCGATTACTACTATTTTTTAATTCGTTCTGTTTACCTATATTTATATTTTAGTATAAAAATATTATCTTTAAAAATGTGATTTATGTGCCAGTGAGATCTAATTAAAAATTTTACAATGTGATTCATGTATATTTTTTTTTAATAAAAGGTAAGCACGGGTAACCTGTTTTTGTAATTTGTAAATAAATTTAGTTCGGTTATTACGTTTTTTTTTTATTTTTGGAGCATATGCAACTGCATATATTAAGAAAGTTACTGCATATTTGCATAAATTTGATGCATATCATATGATCATATTTCCCAAAATTTTGCTGCATATTTTCCGCTCTCTATTAATAAGTTTCCATCTTTAACATGATACTTGCCCATTTTCTTTGCCAGGGTTGTTGACGTTATTAGGATATCTTTATTTTTGTTATCTCTTTTTAGAAGGAAATCAGTATTTCAGTATTAGTATCTCTGTTTTTATTTTATTATCATTTTCCCATCTCCATTCTCTATCTTCTGTATAAAGGGATTGGAATAAATTTTTATTGATATTCCTTTTTCTATTCTGATTATTATTTTCGGTCAGTTTTCTATTTTTTTTTTGTCGTAAGTTTACTATTTATACAGGGGATTCAAAAATGGCCCACTAAATGTATGACACGTTGTAATTCAAAAAATCTTTCAGGCCAAATATGGAAGACATAGACCTTCAAAGTTTATTTTTTCCTTTACATATTCAATTCACTACTAATAAGTATCGGTATAAATAAAATCGCACGGACTTTTATTATTCAACATAATTTTTCAAATATCATGTCTTTATCCATAGTTTTCTTCTTTTTAAAATATCACAAAAAACTTAGAAATTGTTCAGAATGTATCTGACAACAGTGGCTAATTTTTCACAGTTTTTGATCCATTATCTACTTAAATCATTATTTTGTGTCTTTAACCTTTACCTTCGGTAATATTTTTTGTTCCATCAACTTTTCCATAGAATTTCGTAGTCTTCTCTTTCCTAATCTGTTTATTTTATACTCCTATTATATTATATTTTCTTAGCAATTATTCAGCTATTTCACCAGATATTTGCCACTGAAAAAATGGAAAAACAAAGAAAATATCTACATAATGAAACATAATTTTTTAAAATTTATTATTAAATGTATTGGCTTACAAGTGAACATTGATTTTTCATTAGGGAATCAGAAACAAAGAAACATTCCAGGAAATAATTGCAATAAAAGAAACTAAATTAAAAAAAGGAAATAAAATTATGTATTCATTTAGTACACTCTATTAATGTAATTTTAGTTGCTAATCTATGTGTTCTTACTGAAATGACCACGTCATCATAAAATTTTTTAATATGAAAACTGACTTAAAATATTACGCTGCTTCATGAGCTACCGAAGTTCTATCTAAATAAGTTTAGACCAATTTTTTACTACTGCTTATACAGGTGTCCAGAAAAATGAATATAAAAAGCAATATACTTTCTTACTTTAAATCACTGTTTTATCATAGTTGTGTTAAACAAAAAAGTGATGACCTCACCTGACTTGACCTGACCTGACTTTTTTTTCTTTGAAAGGGGAAACCCTCATGGGCACCAGGGACTTAGGTTCGACCGTCCCTGGTAGTGCTAGGACTACGTACCGGCTAAAACCCCTTCTTCGACCAGCTGTTCTCTCACTCCCCCGAAATCGCGTTAGCATTAGTTCGAGGACTGGTTGGTCGCCAGTGCCCCATTTTTCCCATGTTTCATGCGTTTGTCGTCTTTACTTCATTTATTTTCCTCTTTAGAACCCTTGTCGCAAACTCAATCATCGCGTCCCATTGCTTCTCTATGCTAATCATATGTCCTCCTATTTTATCGGTGTTAATATCTGAGCCTATTTTTAGTTCAGGGGCGGCTGGTGCAGGGGAGCACAAGGGCACGTGCCCCCCCAAAATTACAATGTCTACAAACACACTGGACGTAGTAAAATAGTAATTTTCAATATTTAAAAAATTATCCGGAAATTTGTGTCATAATTATTAAAACTAATTTTTTTATCTCGCTCCACTTGTATAAAATGTATCAAAACTTACATCCACTAGCATCTAAAGACGTGTGTCTTGGATATATATGTTATTGCTGATAACAGCGGGGCACAGAGACCGGAATCATAGCTGATTTAAACGTTTTGTTTACACCGTTGCCATAGAAACCACACGTCCTAACCATTTCAGTCAATGGGACTGCGGTTCCGTTCTGACAGTGCTCGGCAGGAGTAACTCAATCGAGGGTTTTAATTTTCATGCTGCGCGAGATAGACGTAAAACAGGTATGATAAATATTCTTGGATAACCTTCTCGATAATACGGACAGTAAAACAACTAACCACCGCCTTTATTAATAATATTCGGGCACATAACGTAAGGGTCGACAAAAATCGCCATATATTTATTACGCCGATTGATAATGTGCATACAATTTTGTGGAGTATTTGAACTTGCTTTACGTGGACATGACGAAAGTGGGGAACCACAAAATCCAAGTATATTTCGAGGTCTGATTGATTTTACGGCTGAATTGGACTCTACTTTATCAGATCATTTGAAAGAAGCAACGGTTTTTAAAGGAACGTCTAAAACTGTCCAAAATGAACTTTTAGTTGTAATCAACGTAAAATTTTGACCGAAGGCAAAAAGGTATGGGGACAAATCCTTTTTTACTCTTATTGAATGTATTTTTGTATTTATTTCAGTCATACAATTTCGTCTATTACTTAATTAGTAATAACAACCTGTTTTATACCTTCATATTTTTTAACTCATCAATCAAATTGCGTCCCCCCATTTCAAAAGGTCACGAGCCGCCACTGTTTTAGTTCCATATTTTCCCTTTTGCTACGCCATCTTTCACATACTAGAAATAGATGCTCTACCGTCTCTATTTCGCTTTCACACTGGCACATTGTTCTGGGAATCTTCCCTATTCTGTGGAGATACTGGTTGAAATCCCCATGGCTTGTTAATAGTTGTGTCTCTCCATGAGCTCTATAGTACCATGGTATCACATCTGGTATCAGTTTCCTCATCTATTTCCCTTTGTTGCTTTGACTCCATAGACTCTGCCACCTCTTCCTCTACCGATCTGTTCTCCTTCTTAACTCTTCTTACCCTCTCTTCTACTATCAGTTGCATCGGGGGCCTCTCCGCTACCACTAGCAGCACGTCAGTGGATGTAGTCCGATATCCGACAGAGACCCTTAAGACCATCCTTCTCTGTAGTCTCCTTAATCTGTCCGCGTTTCTTTTTATTTCAATTGCCTTCCCCCAGATTGGGACTGCGTATGGTACAATCGAATACGGCACGCTCATGAGTAGCTTCCTAACAGAGGCCTTCGCTCCTTCCACACTTAGCTGCATCATTTTCCTTTCCGCTCTACTGGTTACTGCTTCTAAATGTCCGACAAAGTTACAATTTCTTCCAAATACCACTTTGCTCTTTCTGTACTGTGTATTTCTTCATCTCCTATCCTTATTATCACCTCTGTCATCTTTCGTCGTCCCTCAAGTATTACCGCCTTTGTCTTTTCGGTCGCTATTTCTAGTCCCGCTTTGGCCAACCTTTTCTTGGTTATCTGTGCTGCGTTATTGGTCGCATTCTCTATGTGCGTCCTGTCTTTCGCTACCACCACCAGGGCCAAGTCATCTATGTATCCTATTATTGTCACCCCTTCCGGCTTATCCAATTTCAAGACGTCATCATATAGAGTCGTCTATAGTACTGGTCCTAAAACGAACTCTTGTGGCACTCCAGCTGTTATTTCCATCCATTTGCCCATCGACATTTGACCATCTATCTGAGGGGTAGCTTTGCGCCACACTCGTCAACTCTACCGTTATTTGTCTTCTTTTAATTTCTCCAGTAGGCATAGGTTCTTGTGTCGGTATACTCCTTTCCTCGCCACCTCCACTTGTTCTAGAACCTCCTCCATGGGATTCTCCGTTGACCTACCTGGTCTGAATCCGTTATGGTTGTCACTGATGGCTCGCTTTTCCTCCATTTCCTTTCTTAGCCTTGCGACTATGACTTGTTCATATAGCTTCCCCATTGTGTCCACCATACACAGGGATCGATTATATCCAGTGATCCCTGTTGTTCTTTCTTTAATTTTCGGGACTAGCACCAGTCTTGCTCTCTTCCATGTTGGAAATGTTCCTTGGTGATACAGTCCGTTCAGCATCTTTGCTGCTTCTCTTGGTCTCTTCGCTGCCATCCATTTTGTCGCTTCAGGTGGTATTCCATCTAATCCTGGTGCCGTGCCTACCTTTATGTTGCCGTTGCAACAACCTCTTCTTCCGTCACTTCGTTTTTTCTACTATCGTTTATTATTCTCCTGTTGTCCTCGATGGGAACAATTTCCGTGCAATTTCTTTGAATTCTTCGCCCTCCAATGTCGTTCTCGCATTCGCCACAATTTTTCTACTTACTATCTGATACCCTTTTCCTCAGGGATCCGCGTCCACTTCTGCGCAGACCTCTTTCCATTTCCTCTCTTTTTATTGTATTATTATTTTCTTGAATGTTTGCCTGGCTTGGTTGTATTCGGCTTCCATATTTTCCTTCTCGTCCTGTTTTGTTCCAGTTTTTGCTGCATTGTCCTTCTCTTTTTTATACAATCTCTTCTCGCGTCTGCCACTTCTTCTGTCCACCAATACATACCTCGTATTTCCCCGTCTTCATCATAGTGAGTACTTCCCCACAGGTCGTTGTGATGACTTCTCTTCTTCTTCTTCTCTTTCCTTGTTCTTTCCTTATGTTATATTCTCGCTCTTTTCTTATTTCTATCTCTATTTCATTATGGTCACACGGTGTATTCTGTCCTCTATCATTCTCTATCTGCGATCCCCAGTATACGCATACGCTTATCATCATCTGTTTGTTGTCTTGTCGTTCGATGTCTTTTTCTAGTTCATCCACCGTATCATTATATGCATTTTCTTCAGCCTCCACAGCGAGGTAAGCGTCTCCCAAGTCTACTTTTTATTCGGTGCAGTCCTATACAGTACTAGAGCCATGTCTTTTCTTGCATCCATATACCTACCTTGTTTCTCAGCCATCTTTATATTTGGTTCCGAAATCAGTGCCATTTTTACGTTGATTTCGCTAGCTCTTTTCTTTACTAGGTCTCAAGACGCTCTCGATCGTTTAAAGTTCGTCTGTATAATAATAATCTTTCTATATCTGATACACAGGTCTCTCCTATCTGTACCTTGACACTCCTATTTCTTGTGTCCAGTTTGTCAGCAATTTGGGTGTTGGAAATTCCATATCCAATCATCTTTAGCAGGTACCTGGGGTTGTGAGAGATGGGGGTGTGTCCCACCCACCCCATTTAGTCGGTACCGGTACACACAATTATGTAGTAAGAGTTCTGGAATAAATCCCAAGTACAACGGTCGCACTCTTCATTTTGGTCCTTCGACGTAATTCCTAATAATCACAAACATTGGGTATCTATCCTTTCCCTGATCCCACAAGATACTAGACCAACCTTGATCGTTCTTTTATTGGTAATTTTGTTAGCATCAGGTTTTGGGACCAGTATGGTTGACACCTCTGAATTTCCAAATGCCTCTCTGATGGACGTTATTTTAATTTCTTTAATCTCCTCCTCTGTTACAGTTACGTAGTGTCCCTTCAATTTCCTCCTTAGCTCATGTAGGTCTCGGAGATGGAACATTGTAATTCCTTTTGCCTTGTCCCACTTTTTCTCACCTCTATGACTTCCAGATTCTTGGAGATCTGCTCCTCGACCATCTGCATAGTGTTTCCTTTATTTTCCATTGTTACCAAGAGTTCTGATATTGTCTCCCACCTGTCTGGGATCGATATTATTTTTAATTGCTCTGAGTAAATCCGCATACGTTTTCTCCTCTTGTCTCACTATGAGTGTCTGGGTGTCTTTCCTGTTATTCTTCAACTTATTTTCAGCCTTAGTCTCTTAGACCTGACCTGACCTGACCTGACCTGACCTGACCTGATCTGACTTGACTTGACCTGACCAGACTTGACCTGGCCTGACCTGAACTAACAACTTGTATCTAGGAAAAGTCAACTGTAAAAAAGATTAGAGATGTTACTTAAATAAAAATAAATGTTATATTAACCTTTTTTTTTTGATATCCAAATTCTGCATAATTACATGTGAGTAAGGAACAGTGCTTTTTCACTTTATCTCCTTAAGACTTTGGTTTGCATCTTTCACAATATCTGTTCCGTACCTTGTTCTTCTAAAAATTACAATTTTCTCAATTCAAAACCTTACTAAATGTACCTAGCGTCTATAAATTACTGCTTTTTAAAAAAATCTTAGTCAACTACATAACTAAATAAGCTTTTAGTGTTTAGAACAAACAAACTTTAGATTACAGCACTCACGGAATTAATAAAACCTAAGTAAAAATTATATGATAACTTAAGTGACCGAATTAAAAAGCCAGGCTTCTAACTCGGAAATATTCAAAACAGAATTATAATTTAAGTTTCATCACACAGCTGCGTTTTTACAATTCTATATTTAGACACTAATTGTACCGCGTTTGCCCTCGTATTACATTTTATTCAAGCAACCGGAACAGGTTGGAATGTTATAAATCCATCACCCAAGCGTGAAATTGTTTGATTGACAAATTATATTTTTTTTACTACTAATTAGTGTAGTTGTTGCTTCGTGGGCGAAAGCAATAAATAAACGTTGCTTTAATAGCTGGCATATGTTTTAATTTAAAGATGCCTCTTCAAACGGCACATTTATATTTAGTGGCCCTAAATCCACAAAGTCTTACGACTGTTCAATTTACTTTGATTGCCCCGGTAACTGCAAGCTTTCCGTAATACTCCTTTGTTGTCGCAAAAGCTTTTGACTTTTATTTTGGTTTTAGCGAAGTTGACTCCACCTCAACATTCTACTTAATCCGGCTGCCGATTTTATTGCAATTTGGCCGGTCGGAGCAAAGTAGAACACGTTGTAAGGGTAATTTGTGTTAACCTTCGCGTATTGTTGTAATAATTCGTGAGGAATGGGCTACCACCCAAAGCACGTTTCGTAATGGGAACAAGAAAAGAGTAGCTTCGAGTTCAATTTAAAGATAAAAGTGATAAGGATATGATTAATGGAAACGGTGTCGCATTGTAACAAGGAGGATAAATATCAATCAATACAGGTGATTGATGATGAAGAATATTTCTTGTAAGTATCTAATATTACATGAACATAACGGAGTATCTGCAGTAGAAGAAAATGTGGAGTGTGTGTCAATTTCAGATTATAACACTTATCGACACGTTGCTAAATATTGTGTTATTTGCTTTTTTGTAAAAGCGATTGAAATTTCTGTAACGGCTACACTTTAAACTTATTCCTGGTGGGTGTTAATAATCAATACGTGTTTAAAAGTAGGTGGTTCGACAAAACTCGAGCTTACAAAGTCACTCAAGTAGATAAAATAAATAAGCTCCCATTTCAAAAGGTGCTACAAGTCTAGTTACGGATTTTCCCTGCCGAGTTTCTCAAGAAATTGTGCTGAATTAAAAGAAGAAAAACGCGTTTGTTGTGTTAGAAGGCAAGTGTGCATTTCAGACGTCAGAGAAAATAAATCATAACATTTTAATTAATGTCAGAAGAGTTTTAACAATGGCTTTTCTTAATCGTGAGATGCAAAATTCCATAAAAAGTAAATAAATTAACAGACGCGAACAATGGAGGCTGCTATTTCTTTGTGACAACTAATAAAGACACAGAAAACGGATTTTAAATATTATCTCAATATATTTCACTCGTCCGAAGACAGTTGTAATGGAAAATACACTTAATATGAAGTCGACGAATAAGTAGTTGTGTTTTATTATGTCATAAAACATAATTTCACGTAATCGCATTTGTTGCAATAATATAATGAAATTGCAATGCTGACATTTTAAAATTGACAAGTAATTGCAAGTTTAATCTTACCCTAGTGGATAAATAATGATACTGGTTATAATTTTTTAATAACGAATAATAAATATGATAAATAATAAATAATAATTTTAAACCAGCATTTTGTGTCACTTTACATAAGAGTTTCTTTGTACAATTAAAGTGAAAACGTAAAGACGCCAGCAGTTTTTGAAAAAATACATATATTTTCCTGTTTCCCCACCGACAATTAATAAATGAAGTAAACTCAATTGTTTTCATAGTTGCTCTTTTTTTCTTAGACTATAACAAGTGTTATCTTTTTTTTTTTTTAACACTAGATTTGTTGCATTGTATTTCAGGGGCAACATGATTTTTAGATGTTGCTGTATAAAATAACAGAAATATTTCCCAGATTTTATTACAACACAAATTTAAACAATCTCCACCAAATATTTTCCAACG